TTCCTTGGCATTCCCCTCCTCCCTTGGGTTGGCATCAGCACCCACAGCTATATCAGGAAGCTGATCTTGCTGGAAAATATGTATTTACCTCAGATTTAAATCAATAACATGACTTGCAAGCTCTTAATTAAAAAAAAAAACAAATTAGTTAAATTCTGTGAATTTAGAATTTTTCTTTTAATTTGTATTTGACTCTGGAAATGTGGAAACCATTCTTGTGGTCCTGCTGCAGAAGTTCCTGTTGACTTACTGGTTTTGAAAAGAAGGACTGTTCTGTTCCTTTTGTATCAACATAGGTTCCTTTTTCATCAACATAGGTTCCTTTTTCTTTGCTCCTTTTTCCCCCTCAATCTCTTCTGCATGTGCCAAGATGAACAGAGACAAATAGACAGAGATGACTGTCTGTGTAGATGGCTGGTGGTTTGTGCATATGTACAGTAAGGATTTAATACATGTCAAAATATATTTTCTAAACATGTCAGGAAAACTTTTCATCTGGTTCCTACTACTTCCTTGATCATATTTATTTTACAGGCTGTCTGTGTCTTGATATGCATTTTAAATCTGCTTTTGCTTCCAAGTTGCTCAAAGTACTTTAAATTTTCCCTGAATAAAAGCAGATTGAAAATCTGAAGACAAGTCATGTCATGGCCAGCCTTCGCAAACGAAGATCTGGGAAAGGTCTCCACCCACATTCGTTACAAGCACGCTGGTGATACAGGGCTTTGCAAACGCGGGTAAGGCCTTCGAGCCTGCGCAATGGATTTTTTAGGTGAGACACAGTGTGCGCTGAACTGAGCCCACCCTTTAATCCTAAGGTTCATCTGCCGGGGCCGGGCAAGCTTGGACGGTGGCAGCGAGGTCCTCAGGACGTAGGTTTGTTTAGAGTGACCTTCTCTTAGATGGATGGCCTTACAGGGCTGACGAGCTCCATCTGCCTGGGTTTAGAGTTGTCCTTCTCTTCTGTGTGTTCTGGGGCTCCCCTCTCATCTCCCACAATGGCACTGTCCGCACAGGCGAAGCTCCCATTTTCTCGCTCCGTTCCGCACCCGGGGCCGCCCGAGGCCGGGCCCCAGCGCCTGCAGCCGGGCTCCTGAAGACAAGTAAGGATGAAGCATTTCTCATGGTAGATGCCTTCAGAATTGCCTTTGAGCAGCAGCTGATGCAGAGGAAGGACTAGGCCCTGAGGCTTACAGAGGGGATAAAGATGAAGAAGGAAACTAAATTTGAGAACTGGAAGTGTCTGAGGGACACTGGTATCTGGGCAAGTCAAGGGTCTGGGGGGGCTGGCTGGAAAAGGAGCGAGCATGTGGCTTGAGCACCTTCTTACTGTGTGAAATATGTGGCTGTGGCTCAGCTGCTGACTGGGGTTTATGAAGAGTCAAGAAACAAAAAACCTATGTCAAAGCTGTGAATACACAGTGTAATATTAAATAGTGTGTTTTGTAATTGAGGAATTTCACATGTGAAATGCAGAGTGTGCGTGTGTGTAAATGGAATATACAGGTCCTGTAGGACACTGGAGCACCCAGTCCAGGCCTTTACAGCACCCTGTTTTAAATTACACATGCATGAACTCTACTACCTGACTGAAAACATGCTGGAAGAAATAAGCTGTTACATGGGATGAGAATAATATTCTGGATATTAAAGATATTTGTTATAACAACAGCAGAGAAAAGACAAGAACTGACCATTTTAAATGTCACCAGCAGCTTACGTTCTGGGTGTTATTCTTTGCAAATGAGCTCTATGAAAGAATTAGGGAAGGAGGAAAAATGAAAAAAAATATATAAAATATATATAAATATATAGATACTGTGATTTTTTGGCCTGGATGGGGCACTGAGCAGCCTGGTCTAGTGGAAGGGGGTGGGACTGGATGAACTTTAAGGTTTCTGGGGGATTTTTTTAGTGTTTTTTTTTTTTGTTGTTGTTGTTGATAGGGGGTTTTGTTGTTTAGTTTTTTTAAAAAACATTTCTAGCTTTTCATTTTGCTTTTTATTATTATTCTTACACTTCATATGTAACAGAGTTACAAAGTCCTCTGTAAAAGAGGAAGAATTCGAATCTGTAAAATAGGACAAATTGTAATAATCCTTTTATTCTTTAAAAAAAGGGTTAAGTTCTCATGTCCTGGTCCATCATAGAAATTTAGGAATGGGACATCAGGATATATTTGTATTGGTAATTGAGCTGGAGCTGCCAGGATTAGAAGTTTGGGGGTCTCCCAGATTCCTTGAGCACTCTAGGGATGTGGTACTACAAGAGCAAACCCCCTGACTTCTGCTATAGCAACATCATTGCTTTCAAGTTCTGTAACCTGGGGCATATGCCCCAAAATTTTAACATATTTTAATATTTTTAGAACTCTTACAAATGGCCTGTGTCAGAGAATCTTTGGTTTTTTTCAGGATACTTACTGTTCAAAAACTAATTACCATGAATTCCACAGTTCATGTACTTTTGTTTTCCTTAGAGCGTGTCAAGTTAAAAGGGAATGAGAACAATCTGGGGCAGAAGCTGTCCAGCTTGCTCTCATTGGGTGGGGCCTGCAGGATGGTTGAGGCACTGGACAATCCCCTCAAGATCCTGAAGATGTTTATAGATTTGGTCAGTATTTTGTTCATCATAAACCCTTGGGGAGCACATGCAGCCGTCAGTTTACAAACAGTGCCTTGTTGTGAGATGATGAATGTCTTTCTCTCCTTTCTGTGTTCAACAACCCCGAGGTGAATGACAAGGAGTTGTCCCTGGCCCACCAGAGGAAGGTCAGCTACATGTTGGCCCATGCCATGGAGTCGAAGGAGGATGTTTTGGGACAGGATGAAGGGAAGGGGCTATCAGGCCTCACTCACACTTGCTGCCACAGCCCCCCTCCCAAGAACAGTGTCCCCTCAGTTCCCAGTGCAGAAACACACAGAAATCCAGAAAACTCCCTGCAAAAGTCACTGTCCTGGCCCTTGGGTGGTGCCAGGGGGACAGTGGGGCTGACAGTGGATTTTGTAAAAAAGAAACACTTTGTGGAAGCACCAGAAGCCGCCCTGTGATTGCATCACTGCTGTGATGGGCCCATTGACCATCGCTGTGCTGAGAGGGACAGGGTTGGTCAATTTAATGGTGATTTAAAACTGGATGGAGCATCTGTGGGCTGCCTGAGCTCTCCCCTGCCTTTCCCCAGCCCTACATGGTGACAGAGTAAGAGTGGTGTTACTGTGGGGTGGGCATGTGCTGTCATGAGGATGAGGGGGGCTGATGGAGTAAGACGGCCAATTGTGTCTAAACACACAGAGTCAGGTTTAGAAAGGAGATACTGTTTATTCTGCACAGAGTGGAAGGTGGATGTTTCCACAAATCCAGCATACCGACTGTCAAAATCTTTTGCTGTTTATACACTTCAGCAAACAAAGGTGTTAATGTCCATGGGCTACAAGTTACATAGTTCTCTTATTAATTACAGAATTAATTACAGACTCAATTAGTTTGGAAAAGACCTCTGAGATCACCGAGTCCAACCTATGACCCAACACCACATTGTCAACAGACTATGGCACTGAGTGCCACATCCAGTCTCTTCTTAAAAACCTCCAGGGATGGTGACCCCACCACCTCTCTGGGCAGCCCATTCCAATGCCCAATCACTCTTTCCTTATAGTTATATTTTATATTCTGTTGGTTAGTGACTCTATCACTTCTCATGCTAATTGATCCCATGCTCAGTCATTCTCTTCCTTTGGGTTGGGGAGTTTCTGGGTTCAGCGGTCACACCCTGCCCCTACTGGAATCACCCTGTATCCAGTGGCAGCTGATTCAGTCCAGGTCCTGAGCTGCCTTTGTTACTTCCTTCTTCATCTTGGGAGTTCTGTCCTTGTGGCCCATAAATACTGCATTCCCTGTGCCCACTCTCAGTGGAAATCCTTCCCCCAAGCCCAGGGCTCAGATCACTGAGACACATCCAGTCCTAAACCTTAACAAGGGCAAGAAGGGCCTCTCTCGCTTCTTGGGCTTGAAAGTTACATAGATCAACCACAGAACATCCTTTCTTAGCAAAACTTTTGACACATTCCACGTTTTGCAGCAATCAGGCAGGATCCTGACCCAGCAACCCCCTCTCATTTCCCCTAACTCTCTGGACAAACTGTTAATCGTTTCTGACTCTATCTGACACATCCACGTCACCACGGGTTGGGGGGGTGTGTGACATCACGAGACCCGGCAGGGAGCTGACGGAGCGGGAGTGACGTCACCGCGAGGTGAGGGGGTGTGAACGCCACGACAACCGGCGGGGTGCTCACGGACAGCAGAGGTGTCGCCGCATGGAGCCGGTGTGTGACGTCCACCGACGGCGCGGGCTGCCGCTCCTCGGCGGCGGGGGTGGGAGCGCGCGCAGGGGTGAGCTGCCCCGTCAATCACACTGCCGGCCCCGCCCCCTCCCCCAGCCTCCATCCCCCGCGCTGTCAGTCACTCCGCCGGTCACGCCCCCTCGCGTCGGCTCCGCCCCAGTGGCTGTGGCGGGAAGTGGCGCCGCTGCGCACGCGCAGGGTGGGCACAGCTGGTCACGGTGACATCACGCATTTCGTACCCGCGCATGCGCAGCGCTCACGGAGCAGGGCCGGAGCCGCCGGCCGGGCCGGGGCGGCCCTGAGGAGACGCGGCCCTGAGGAGACGCGGCCCTGAGCCGCCGGTGAGGAGGGACACGGCGCGGTGCCATCTGAAGCTGCTTCAGTGGGTTAACTGCCCCCGGAGGTTTGAGCGTATCGGTGGTGTTTTTGCTTACTGCTCTTCCGATTATTTATATATAAGGTATATAGAGTGTATATAGGATATGTAGAATATAATATATAGAGAGAGTGTTATGTAGGGTATGTAGTGAATAATATGGAGGCTGTTATATACGGTGTATAGAGTATGATATATATACAGACAGTATTATGTAGGATATATATAGGGTAGATAGAATATAATATATGTATATATAGAGAGAGTATCATATAGGTTATATAGAGTATATATAGGGTAGATTTATACAGTATATAGAGTATAATAGAAAGAGATGATTATATAGGGTATATAAAGCGTAATGGACAATCTTACCCCTGCACTTCCAGGCATTAAAAGGTTACCAGACATTCTGTATTTCCATGGAGCAGGGTCTGGGTCCAGCAGAGCATCCCACTCAGTGCCAGGGCTGTCTCATGAGCATCTGCTCATTAACAGTGTAAATCACAGGAGATGGGAATGCTGAAGGAATGTGCCAGGCCTGGTGCAATCCCATTCTCATGGCTCATTTTCTAAGGCTGAGTAATAAGTGCTCACAATAACTATGAGATAATAACTGGCAGGTGGTGGGGGTGGTGCCCTGGGCAGTGTGTGGGGGCTGTGTCTGCGCAGCTGAGCCCGTGGGTTCCTCACTGGTGGACTGGCTACTGCTGGTGGCACTGAAGGACTGCTGACAGTCCATAACTGCTTTCTGAACCTGCTGCATTGTGTCCAGATCTGGGCTCCTCAGGATAAGAAAGACAAGGACCTGCCAGAGAGGGTCCAACAGAGGCCACAGAGGTGATGAGGGATCTGGAGCATCTCCCTGGTGAGCAGAGACTGTGTGAGCTGGGCCTGGTTAGTCTGGAGAGGAGACAACTGAGAGGGGATCCTGTCAATCCACACAAATATCTCCAAGGGATGTCAGGATGGTCCCAGACTCTGTTTAGTGGTGTCCAGCGACAGGACAAGGAGCAATGGCCATAAAATGAAACACAACAAGTTCTCCCTCAACATGAGGCAGAACTTCTTTCCATGGAGGTGACAGAGCCTGGAACAGCTGCCCAGGGAAGTGTGGAGTCTCCCTGTCTGGAGACATCCCAGACCCACCTGGACATATTCCTGTGTCACCTGCTCTGGATGACCCTGCCTGCGTAGGGGTTGGACTGGGTGATCTCCAGAGGTCCCTTCCAAACCTGGCTGTTCTGGAATCTGTGATTCTCTGTGTGGTGTGAGTGATGCTGTTTTGAGTTCAGGGGGCAAATTTCTTTGGGTGTATGAATGAAAGAGAATCCCCAGGAGCTGAAGGTGATGTTGGGATAGAGCTGTCACAGTGGTGCTGAAGGAGTTCTGTCCTTCTAAGAAGTCTGTGTTGAACTAACAGAATGTTGCTCTTCGAGCACGACAGTTTTTTGTAGTGTGCCACGTATTTTTTTCCTTATGTGTCTGAAAACTTCTGCAACTTTTGTCTTCACCCCCTGATTCAGCTCATAGTCTTGCTGAGACAATAGCAGCTGGAGCTTTTGGGATGGATAGTAAATTGTCTTGCTCAGCAAGAATAATTTTAGTTTTTATTTGTGTTTTCTACACAACGTTTGTTCAGTTGTGCTGAACTTCTCCATCAGGTTGGTTGTTGGTGAGCTCCATGGGCAGTTGTAACTTAGATGTTTTGTCTGTAGGGCCTCAAGCCTGTGGGTGGGTTGAGGTGTTGGGGTGTGGGAAGGGGCTGAGAAGAATAAAGCTGGTGATTAAGTCTTTAAATACCCTGAAGGTGGGAGAAGAGGCCCCTGTGCTCCATGAGCTCCTCCGTCCTGGAGCACTGTGAACTTGGTGGTTGCATTTATATCAGAGGCTTTGTTCTAGTTGTGGTAGTTGCTGGAAAAATCCGCTTCAATCCTGAGGATAACAGTATTAATACAGCTTTCTGCTCAGGCTAAGTGTAATGATTAAACACAGTGATGGAGCTGAAGTAATGTGACTTAGCAGTGAGTGGAAAGACTTCCCTGGTGACCAGAACTGAGGTGGCTCCTGTGGTGAGCTCTCTGCAGACCTGTGTGCCCCTGTGTGTGAGTTTCTCTGTCTCTAAATCTGTGTTGTTTTAGAAGTTCCATGCATAAGCAGGCCTGGCCTCTGCAGGGCAGATCAGCTGTGGCAAACTGAAGATCTGGTAATGCCCATGTGTGCTGACACTACAGAGAGTGGTTCTCAGGAATTCCTAATTTCCAAAAGGCAGCTTATCTTCAGACCTTGAACTGGTTAGTTGGTAATAATTAACTTACTTGTTCTGGTTTACAAGTTATCAGCATTGAAAACAGCTAACTACCTCCATTTAGAGAGTTTATCTGTAAAAACAAACCCCTGACATCCATTCTGTTACCTGGCCACTCAGTATCCCAGCAGCTTTGTGCTATCTTCTCCTTTAAATGAGAGTGTGTTGAGAAATCCCCAGTGGAATGTTGGTTCTGAACTCTGGAGATTGTTACAGTTTTAATGTGGCACAATTATTGCCTCTGTTCCGTGGGGTAGTTGTGTGCAGTTTGAAGTGCTGTGTTAGGAGTGTTTCAGACCATGTGTCAGAGACCTGAGAGGAATCTGTTCAGACACACACGAAACATTTACGTGCACAAGTGACACGTCCAGGGTGCTTTTTTTTTTTTAGTACATTTTATGCTTTTATTATTATTTTCCCTTTTTGTGATGGACTGATGTTTTAACTTCAAGTCTCCTTGCACATAAATATTTAATTTATCTTAATCTCAAAGCATGTAGTCTTTAACAGAAAGTTATTTAAATATTGTTTAAAAGTTACTTCTACTTTGAAAAAAAAAGTCTAGAAAACGGAGCTGGTGAGAGCCTGAACTTGTATGTTTCCCTACACTGTTGCCTTAGATAATGTTATAAGCTTATCTGAGGCTTAATACCTCAGATAAAGTTATAAGCATTAAGTTTTAATAGCTTATTTCTAAAAAATGTTAATCTGTGAACCAGTTTGGAGATTGTCTAGTGAGTGGATTCAGAGCTGTAGAAAATGTGTTTGGAAGACAGTAGTTCTGTCTGCTTAAAACCATATATAGTGGTGGTGCTCCTGATTTCTGATAATTAGAAGTATAATTCTGTTGTTAGGAGTATGATTCTTAAAAGAATACTTTATGGTGATCTAGTCTGCCCTTTTTTGAAAGGTTTTGATTTTATTGTGCAATTTTATTTTTTTTTTATTGTAGGTCTGTTGTAGAAAAGCTGAAAACCTATCAAAAACTTCAAGAAAGAGTAGTGAAATTACAGGAATAATATGCTAGTTATTCAAAGTCAGGTTAATTACTCAAAATGCTTTATTAAGTCAAATGGAACTATTCTATTTCAAAACCAGATTTAATAAAATGTAACTACATTATTGGGTCAGTAGACTGAGATGTGATAATTTCCTGAGCTGGGTGTAGAAGTGATTTACTCTGTATTAAGTAGATGAAAATATTTGCATATGATTTCAGTTCTACAGTTCTTTGAGTTCTTTCCTTTTTCAGAGGTCAGTGGGCCAATGCTGGGCAACACAAATGCATCCTAATCTACCTATTTAGCATTGTAATCTGATAATGCACTTGTGCTTAATTCAGAATTTGTGCCACTCAAGAGTGCAAAACAATGAATTTAAGTCTTTTAAAGTGTAAGATAAAGATAGATGCAATAATTACTTACCTCTCCTCTGTATTTTTTTGAATTATGAAAGGGTTTTTTTATAAATTCTGGTGTCATTAAGGTATCTGTTATCTGTACTTCGATGTCTCTCAGTGGACCATCAAAAGCTGTTAATCTTGTAAGTCTCTTAATTGAAATTACTTCCAGTTCAAGTTGTAACGCCTCCAGTTACCAGGAGGTTGCGAAATGGGGTGATTGTTCAGGCAAGGGCTGCATTCAAATGAGTGAGGAGAAGTGGCATTAAGTATATATCTCTGCTGCTTGATGCCCTCTAGACAGCTGTGAGAGACCTGGGTTATGGTGTAGTGTGAACACCTTTGCTGTGACAAACGAATGCAAGTGGATATCAAAAAAATAGCGTATTCAGATTGTTCACTTCTGGTTTATGCACAGGCACAAAATGCTGCCCTGCTGCATACTATTTATTTCACCTTCCTTATGCCTTGCAAATCTGTTTGAACTACACATTGCCTAAAAGCGTTCTTGTCACATGCACATTAATGTGGTGAATAATTCCATATTGATGTAAGTGAACGCACCTGATCTGAAGGATTCACTGAAGGGAAACCTTACACCTCAACGAAGGAAGTTAAGGTATAGAGTGTGAATCTGTACCTGCAGTGTGGCATAAGTGATGTGAGTGAATTTGAGTATTTGTTTGGTCTCTAAGCTTTTAGAAGCAGCAGTACTAGATGGTCAAAATACATTGAATTGGGGTGGGAGGTAAAGTCAGCCAGTGCAGAGATTGAATGCACTGATAAAAGTAGAAGGAAAACTAGAGAGACCTCCACAGGTGTAGTTTACAGACATTAGACTGAATGGATCTGAGTCCCTTCAGTTTGCTCAAAGGAAGTGTAAATATTGATTTTATTTATACAGAGTCGAACCATGTGAGCGTTTAGCCATGAAAATAGATGTGGACTTAGGAAGCAATTCAGAGTGACCAAAAAGGCATAAAATTGAGTGTCTGGAAAGGTTCATTAAGCAAATGAACCAGGGTGTTTTGCAGTGTGGAATGTGATTGATTAACAAGTAGCTTTCTGATGAACTGGTAAGTCTAAAAAAAGTGTTTTATGTTCTTAGGGTCTCAGAATTTCATTTGTTTTTGTTTTTTGAGTAGAATAGAAATGATAAGCTGAATTACCATGCTGTGTTTTTAATTTTTATTATTATTTATGCAGTTCAGTCATGTTGAAGGGTAATAATGGCCTATTTTGTTTTTTGCCTGTGAACTGTGGTATAAAATGTATATGGAGACAAACTAGAAGATCCTAATACGCCTTCTGGTTTTAAACTTGCTGACATTGTAATGCCATAGTACATGCTTTCAGATGCACTTGTTTTTTATAAGGAAGCCTCAATTTTGTGATTTAAAGTGGATTTTTGGGTGTATTGTTCATAGTGTGCTGGGTACACTATGTGTAGAGCATATTCAAAGTACATAGGGGCTGCAGCCCTGTTTGTACTTAGGTTTTGTCTACATGGAGGAGAGAAGATGATGTTAATAAAAAAAAAATACCTTCCAGAAGTTGTCTTCTGATACTAACACTTGGGCTTTGTAGACATCATATTACTGTGAATGAGATGCTGTTGTTGTTCTTTGTAGGTTTAAAAAGGGTAAAGCTTCACTCGAACTGAGACTAGAATGGACAGTTACTTCAAAGCTGCAGTGTGTGACTTGGACAAGTTGCTCGATGAATTCGAGCAGAACACAGGTTGGTTCCTGCACTGGCTTGTTCTCCAAGCGATCAAATGGCTGTTACCATGGAATTTGAAAATAGCATATACTAAGTATGGATGGATGAATAGATGGGATCTAGAGGGAATACAATGTGGAAGGAGAGGAGTCTTACAAACTTTGCTTTGATCTCTTCTTCCTTAACACAGATGAATATGACTGCCTCAGAACACCTCAAAACCCATGTGACTCAAAGCACCGTTCCCTCTTCTCAGTCCTGGGGTGCTTACAACATGCATTCCCAGCACCAGAGATGCCAGAGGATGCTGACAGCTGCCCTTCCCCAGAGAAGACCCCTCTCGTTAGCCACGCTGGGACGAGGGGTGTGCTGTGCAGTCAGTCACCACCGCAGGAGCAGAGTGTTGCTGGACCTGATCTTCTGTCCACTGTGGACAGTGGTTCCTTAAATGAAATGGAGGCTTCCAGCCTGGGAAGGTGTGGCATACCTGTGTGTGATCTTGTTAATGACACTGCTGATTTAATCCATGCTCACCAAGGTTCTCAGAAGTCACAGCCAGCTGATTTCCAGTGCAGCCAAGGGTCAATTGGCTTTGGCCTGTCTTGCATACCTGTTCCTATTTGTGTGTCATCATCTGGTTGCAGGGATGCTTCCAGCACAGAGCAGAGTGATGGGGACTCAATGCTTCAAGATTCAGGGTGTCTTACAACAGAGGAAATGAATCATTTAGCTTTAAAATCAGACAGTTACACTACAGGAGAGATCTCGGATTCATGTGATGATCAACACAGGACAGAACCTGTAAAGTGCAGTGAAGTACTTGATCAGCCTGAACAAGCTGCTCACCTTGATATCGAATGTGTCCTTGTAGCAACACAGAATTCAAATGCAAATGGTCCCAAAGATGAGAAAGCTTGTGAAAAACTGCTTTGTGAATCACAAGATGATAGTGCATGTTCTGCAGTAAGCAAAGAGATGCGTGGAGGAAATGCCATAGGAAAGGGAGACCCAAAAGATGGGAGTAATGCTATATCCATGCTTTCAGATCTGCTCAAGAGGCATCAGGTGCACAAAACCCATGCAACATTACCTGGAATTTGTGTTGCACCAGGCTTCTCATGTCAAACAGGAGCTGAAGTACAATTGGAAAAGAAAATCACAGAAGAGAATGTATGTAATGAAGAACTTAACAGCAGTGAGACACTAAGAAGTGTTTCCAGTTTGCGTATTTCAGCTGAGGATGTCCAGACCTCTCCGTCATGTCTCCCTGTGTCCATGTGCGGCTCATTAGTTGTAAGAGAAGAAAAGGTTAATCCTCTACCTCAGAATGCAGTGGCAGAGGTTATCAGTGGTACTGTAGCTGTTCATTCTGGAGCATCTAAAACTGATCCCTCTGGCAGGGAATCCTGTGAAAATACTGACTGGCATGAGCAGGAAGAATATTTAGCTGAAATCAGCAAAAGTATTGTGGAAAACAGTGAGGATGGAGTGCAGTGCAATGCTCAGAGTGTAATTGATGGTGGTGACTCTCAGGAAATTGAAGCTTTTGCTTCTGCTTTTCTAGACCTTGAGGTTGAGCCATATGATGTAGGTGTGGACAGCTTCTATGATGAAAGTATGAGCCCAGTTGTGGCTGACCTTACTGTGGAGGAGAGTGTTATTAAAAGTGATATTCTAGTCAGCGACGGTGAGCTTGATGATTTCTTGTATGGACAAAGTCTGCAGTCCAAGGCGCTGAAGTCTTCAGACAATGATAGTAACTTAATAGAAAATAATGCAGATGAAGGGAATGTAACAGATGTGAACAACCTGGATTTCACAGAGGTCACTGAAGAACTTATGCAAGCAAAACTGGAGGAGACAATGAGCATTAATAGTAATGTTAAAGTATCTCTTTCTGCCAGCTATTTGGAAGCTGCAGCAGAAGATAATGTATCTCATGGTCAGGACGTAACTGAGAGTAGTAGTGAAGCTCTGGCTTCTGATGTTCCTACTGAAGGTGCAAGACCAAAGCAGTTGCTTGGCCTTTCCCAAGCTGCTGCTGGTCAGAAACAACTGAACAGAACAAATGTACTTGAGAGAGAAAACCAGGAACACGGTTCTGTTACCCCAGAAGTTCCCCTCTCAGGCAGCAGTGTAAGTGTTAGTAAGAACTCTGACCCTGGGGAAGGCATCTCTGAAGCTGGAGGAAACCAAACATCTGAAAACACAGAGTCACTTAAAACACCTGCAGCTCTGCTGTGGAAACAGCCACTGTGGGTCCCTGATTCAGAGGCCCCCAACTGCATGAACTGCCAAGTGAAGTTCACGTTCACAAAGAGACGACACCACTGCCGAGCTTGTGGGAAGGTGAGTTATGGGAGAGGGATCCTGTGCTGCTGAAAGGAAATGGATTCTTGATTTAGGGACAACCAAAGCACAGGAGGGAAAGAAGATTGACACAGTTTTTCTATGGTCAAAGTATTTATTTAACAAAAGATAATTTTCATTTTCCCATCATAGAAACTTAAAGACTGTTGAACAAGACTGGTATCTTGTCATATTTTTTGTGAAAATTCTAATTAAAGGGAAGTACAAAGAATATTCTTTATCTTTCAATGCTGGCTTGTCTAGTGTTTTGCATAGAACAAGGGAGATGAGATGATGGACTACTTCATAGTAGTCATAGTGAATCAGCTTTTTGCTCAGCTTTTAATTAAAGTATCTAAGTTTTAAAAAATTGAGGTGATGCTGAGAATTCAGGTAAGTGGTTATACTATCTGTAAAGCACTGTCCATGAACCTGAAAGGATTGCAGTCTTTCAGGAGCTGTAACGGTAGTACAAGTGTAAAGGATTTATAGCCTAAATCTGTCCTCCTGCATGTTTAGATGTATAATTTTCCAGGAAAGTCGTCTCAGGGGAAGATATGTGACTCACCAAGAAAGCAAGTAGTTGTAGAACTTTTTTCAGCCTATGGTCTTCTGCAGTGAGTAAATGATGCCACGTCTTATCCTTAATTCAGAATTCCGTTGTGAGCTATTGTGGCTTACACTTGTAGTGATGCATAAATGGAAATACTGCCAATACTAATGAACTTATCGTTCAGTGTTGCTCTGTAAGATTTAGGGATGAGTGTCAGTACTAACTTTTTGCATCCCTGGTGCTAAGAAGCATCTGGAGAGGCTTGGTAGGTTTTTTTCCCACCTCTCTTCTAGCACTGTGTGTTCAAAGCTTGGTACTCGTTTATTTCAATTGCAGTAGGTGTGAAGTAAAATGTAGGTCTGAATCTTGAGTGCCAAGATAAGGAAGAACTCATTATGCCAACCTAGAACTCGTTGAACTTACTGCCAGAATATGCTGTTGATGTTCTGTGGTGGTTTAAAATGCAGTTCTTTGGAGTGGGTTTTGTTTTGTCATGAGACTGAGCAATTTTAGGTTCCTGTTTTACATTTTACTGTGAAGTTCCTTGCACCTTGTTTGGAGATGGGGATGGAAGACCCTTCACTGCACACCCTGTTTACAGCTGTAGGTGTGTTAGCTGAGGGGCTTTTGGCAGAACAACAATGTAGTTAGAGGGAGCATCGCAATCTGTGTTCATTAGGAGAGCAAGTGAAGGCAGTATAGGTTATCTATACCTTGCAGATATTCAGTGCTATGCAGTTGTAACTCTGGCATAGCTTTTCTGAATGTGCAATAGTTTAACTTTTAGACAGACTTTTTGTCTTTTTAATAGTAACTGTCTTAGAAAAAACAAACATTCCTTGTGAAGGTGTTGTGTGGTATTGTGTTATCAACCACTTGGGACATAAGGAAAAACTGGTAGGAATTCACAGTTGTCCTGTGTGGCCTATTCTAGAAGACAGTTTTATACATTCCTATTATCCTACATCTTTTTTTACCAATGAACATGGCAACACTCACGGATTCTGGCCTCTGTGCTGGAGGGAAGTGAGAGGTTAGTGGGCCACACTTTCTCTCCCGACAGCAGCACTCGTGAGGCCAAACAGCTTCGCAGTTCCTTTACTGAGGTGTTTGTCTCTTGTTGTGGTATCCTTCCTAGCTCAACCAGGATCAATTCCTTCGCTCAGCAGCCCCATCTTTACCTCCTTTCCCCTGTCCCTAGTTTGTCTTCACCTTTTAGATGCATTAGGATTAATCTTCCTGCAATCCTCTGTGGGTCCCAGTGTCACCAACGGTATGAGGAGAATCCCCATTGCAGAGGATTGTGCTGCCTTAGCATTTGAAGCCTTAAAATGGATTGTGACTGATTAGCGATTAATCCTCATCAGTTACTCTGTTAATATCTGTACTGAGCATGTGTGTTTTCAGTTGAGGTAAATTACTTGGGGCACTAATGCAGAAGCACTTGAAATAGTTTCTTTTTTCAGCTCAGATTGCATCTATCAATTATTACTGATTTTATAGTGACCTTTCCTACTTAAACGAGTTCACTTGTAATAACTTGATTTTTTTTCTCTGTCACCACTGTTTTTGGTTTGTTTGTTTGTTTTCCAATTGATCCACTTTGTTTTCCCGGAAGTAATCAGGAGTAGAGAAGACTTTGAATGTTCTTTCCACTTACTGAACTCTGGTCAGTGGTAGAAGGGTTCTGTCAGATCAAGGTTTCAGGAGACTTTTTGTAAGGCTGCTACTCTAGAGTCTGCTTATGGCTAAAAATGGTGTGACCTTCTGAAAACTTGCAGATCACCCTTGAAAGAACATAAGCTGTAGTTATTTATGTCAACTCTTGCAAAGACCCAGCTTTAGTAAAGACATAATTTTTTGAAGGGGATTGTGCAGGTGTTGTCCAAGCTAATGAGACACACTTTTTTCCCCATCTCTGCTTAAAAATAGACAAGACGTATATGCTTTTGGAGTAGAAGAGCACATTCTGTTCTTTCAAAGCAGCTTTCTTTTCAAATACCCTGCTGAAGGGAGCTTGTGACATAAAGAGAAGGATGCTTATTCTTCCTGAGAGAGTAGGAGAGCCTACTTAGCTGACATGGCACCTGAGCCAGACTGGGTGAGTAGCTCGGAAAGCTCTGGCTTACGTTGTTATCCGTGAGGTGGAAGACGCAGCTTGTAATTTTATAGCAAACTGGTAACACGTGTTATGGAGAGATTTGGTGCAGCTGCAGAGATGATTCTAAAGCAGTAAAGCAAATCTGACCCCAGTTCTGGGGCTCAGTCCTTGTTGCTGTTGTTTAATGTAAAATAGTTACGGAACTAGGAGTGAATTTAGGAATAGGTGTTGCAACCTGAAATTCTTTTCATCACCCCAGATAAGAATTTTAATATAATGCCACTTGGGTCCTCCATGTTGTTGCTTTTTGTTGTGAACATATTGTGGGTTTTGTTCTTGTTGTGTTTTTTTTTTTCTTGGCTTGAATATAAGGTTGCAGATGGTTTAGAATGAAACAAGTGTATTTCTCAGAAGAGTTTTCTAATTCCTGTGCAATTGTAGACCACACAATATGTCTATAATATTTAATCCAGTCCTTTTCTGATTCAGGTTTTTTGTGGTAGCTGTTGCAAACGAAAATGCAAACTACAGTACATGGAGAAGGAGGCAAGAGTCTGTACTGGCTGTTACAATGACATTAATAAAGGTAAAAAGTTTTCTTTGAGTAATTACAGTAACTAGTAAAGTATCCCTTTAACCTTTGCCCTTTTGGGGGAGCTTGATTACTTTAATTGGTGTATGCTTTCCTGTTGCTGAGATGGAGGGATGAAGAGAATAATTGTACCTCCTCGTTGGATTTCAGTTCTTATTTTAAACTTCAAGTAGCAAATTGGTGATTTTTATTGAAGAAAAAAAGTAGGTTTTAACTCTGTAGGACTAAATATGAAGCTATACTGTTGGGTCATCTGTGACAGGGGTTCTAGCAAAAGTGATCCTCCCCCCACAGTAGCCTTCTGTGTGTTTAAAGGCCATGTCCCTGCTTGTTCTCACATGTTATTTGCCCATTTTATGTAGCTTCCTGTCCTAATGTTTTTACAAGTCACATAACAGCACTGCAGTAATTGAACCATCAGATAACCTTTCCTTAGCTGGAAGCTAAGCATGGGTTCTTATGGAAACATCAGGAGAAAACAGTGATGTTCTGTTGTTTCATATTTAAATAACAACATGTCAGATTTTTAATATGCCACCTGAATGGAATTTGACCTGATAAATGTGATCAGTGTGTTTGCACCAAGATATGGTCACTGCAGCAGTACCAGGAGGTACAGGGGGTTTCTGTCATGAGAACCAATCTGGCAAATATGCAGGCAGAAAACAAATGTAAATTTTCTTCCCTGCAATAGTCTGAGTGTGCAGATCACAAATTGTGCACTGCTTTTGCCAAAAACCCCCACCCAAAGTACCACACTGCAAATGAAATCTAATCAATTGAGAGATCTGAAAAACTAACCACATTTTTTTAGCACAGGCATTTGAAAGGATGATGAGTCCAACTGGTCTTGTTCCCAGTTCCAGTGTCTCCTCTGAACATTCTGCTGTTCCACCAGTAGAGGAAGCCCAGATGCCTGGTAGTGCCAGCTCCCCTTCGCTTTCTGCATTGTTGCCTATCTCAGCCCTTAAACAACCTGGTATTGAAGGTACAGATGCTATAAACAGTATAGATCTAACACTTCCAGGGTGTCTTTGGAAAGAGTCACTTATTGCATGTTGGATTTGTACTTGGTATATTTTTTATACATTTTTGGTGGTGTTTTTTGTGGGAAATGTAAACTCTGTGAATGGGACACTGGACAGTTACTTTCACTTCCTAGTTTTGGTGCCAGGTCCAAGTTGGTCCTAAATCTCTGTTTATGAAATGTGGATGTTGCTTTTTTCATTGCCTTCTCTTTTTTATTATAAATCTTTTGTGTAACTTTTATAATTTTTACGTATCTTGGGAGATTTCTGGCTTGTGTTGTGACAGCCAATCTTACAGTAAAAAACAAGAAGTAGCTGTTTAGAGACAAGTTGAAAGGGAACAGTAGAGGTTCATTGTCTGTGAAAATAAAAATGATTAGTGATTAAGTAGTGTCTTTGTTCCACTTTTATTAAACATCTGACCTTCTTCAATGGAAATAAATTTTTAAACAAAGTGAGAAATTAACTTTTTTAGATGTATTTCATCTTTTAGCTGTAATATGCACTTCATTCTTACCTTAGTACAGTGGGATGATTGAGGAAGTAGCCTTCCTTAGATATGGATTAATAGATTTAATTGTAACACGGTAGCTCCCAAGTAGGAGATTTTTCTGCATGTATTTGCCTGACTGGTGTCAAACTCTACTTCTGCTGAATTCCACTAAACAGATTCTCCATGTATTTGGTGGGGAGAAGGGACTTACTTTTTATCCCTTTCAGGCATTGGAACAGTGCAATAACATGCAGTTTTTGTTTTCTTACCCTCTCCCAGGGCTGTGCCCCAGAGAGCAGAGGAGGGTCTGGTTTGCAGATGGTATTTTGCCCAATGGTGAAGTGGCAGACACGACAAAACTGTCCTCTGGAGCCAAGAGGTTGTCGCAGGACTTAAGTCCAGTGAACCCTGACTTGCCAGAGACTCATACGGTATGAGTGTGGAAGTGTGTGAATGTGCATAAATTACCTATTAAATACCTCTGCCTGCTATTGATGGGGCCTCTTACATCCATAACAGTTCTGCTTTTGGAATCTGGGACAGTATTTGAGTATTTTTTTGGAGGTGGCTGTGAAGTCCTTGGATTGAAAAACTCTGTAGTAATTTTCATTTCTAGGAAAACTGAAGGAAGGTTTTCAAAGGAAAGCCTTGTTTGGTTTGGGGTGTCTGTGAACTTCAAAAATGGTATGGCAGAAAGTTTTCCAAAACTGGTCTTTTTTGTACACAGCCTTTGATTAATTACTTCTATGACAGTTCTTAAACCTGTCACTAACAACAGGCTTCTAGCAGAAGTTTGTGTTTGGTTTTGTTTTTTATTTTTTCCCCAGTGGTTTGCTGTAGTTTTCCAGTTGGATTAGACTAGCCAGAATTTGCGTAATGCCCTGGAATACTCCATTATAGGGTGCAGCAAAATCTGTGTATTGCTTCTAACGTGAACTAATACTAAACTGAGAGGGGGATTGGCTTTTTTTATCATGGATCACATTCATGGTGTTGAACTAGCTGCACTTTACAAAAAAAGTCCAAAGAAGAGGTTTAAGTTTGCTGTGGAAAGATTTGGAGAGGTTCCACAGCTGAAGCCTTTTTAAGATAAAACATAGCTCCGACATGCTGTCTCAAGTGATAATATAAATTCTATAATTCTCGCAGGACTCAAGAGTTTTTAAAATACATTGGTAAAAACCCAGACCAGATCATTATTATTTTTATATGGAGGATCTGGACACTGTTGGATCGCTGGAGGTGCAGAGCCTGCAGTGCTCGGTATTGCCCTGCAGGGGGCGCTGTCGGGCTCTGGCGGTCACCGCGCGGGAAGGGGCTCTGGGGGTGTCTCGGGTCGCGGGAGAGGCCGAAAAGAAAATGGGGACCCTTCCCCCAATGGAAGAAAAGGGGAAAAGGAAAGCAGTCCACCCCCAACGGAACTCACTGTTGTTCCCAGATGACGGTGTCTCAAGGCTCCTCTTCTCTCTCCCTCAGTGGGCACAGAGCTCTCCGATGAAAACACAGTAGGCTCTGGCTGGAGTCACGAGGCAGTGTGCAAAGCCAGCCGAGACCAGTGATCCGGCTTCACCAGGGCGAGAAGCCAGAAAAACAGGCCTCTGGGCCTTTTCTCCAAATGCACCCACGCAGACCCCCGTCTCCATCACAGAGAGAGCTCAGCAGTCTGACCTGTCCTGTGTGAGGGCGGCCAGCAACCCCCCGTGAGCCGGGCCAGCTACCGAAATCCCAAACTCCTTCCTCCCCCCTTCCTCCCCCCTCACTCCAGCCTTCGATGGGCCATTAGCTAGGAATGCGGCCTTGCTGGTTAGACTCCCTTCCCCCTTCCCTATTCAAACTCCATTCTTCCCACAGTGGAGAAGGGGAAGGAAAATTCCACTCCTGGGATTTATAGCCTATAACAGCTTGTCACACCCATCTCACTGGGGAAGCAGCATAGATTTGACTCCAAGCTCGAAATTAATCAGATGTAAAATCAGCTATTGGTATAGAGGGTAGAAGTATGTTTGCAGTACTAAACTACTGATCCAAGTGATGCTCAGTAGCTGTGAGTGGCAACACCAATAGCAGACAGATTCCTGAAGGGGCACCTAGTATGTTGATTGTGTCAAATCTGACTGTCTGTGCTAGAACAACTATTTGTGTTGCCAAACAAGTAAATTAATGATGCAGCTTCACCTATGTAATGCCTAAACATTAAAAAAAGAAGATCCAGGAGAGATTTGGTGGCTTTCTTCTTGTTAGGAGGAAATGCATTCTCAGCATTTGTGATAGCTTTCTTTCTCTTTTTGCATCTAGAATGCAGATAATGAAAGTTTAGCTGGTTGTGGGACAGTGTAGAATTTTTGTTATTTCTTCTTCATAGGCTGCAAACCCAGAGGAAGATGACATGTTAACTGATGTAAATCAAAAATGGAAGGAAAAAATTGATATTATGACAAGAACAGAGGAATCACATCCTTCTGTTCCTTCAGACAACGCACAGCAGGGTGTCTCGGGCCAGAGTGAGTTGGTACCTAGTTACGAATCTGTAACTCTAGGAACTGAAGAGTGTTCTCCTGCTGCAGAGGCCAAGAAGACCAGTTGCAGTGCAGTGGATCAGGCTGCACATGATGTGTCTGTTAGTCCTTCAAGTTACAGAGCACTGTGTGGGGTCGAAAAGTGTGTGCGAAGAGACATCAGCCTTGTTCCTGATGGGGATAACCTGCCACCACTTCTGCTGGCTGTGGGTGAAAAAGGAAAAGGTAAAATCTGAGAAAACTGTTAATATTTAGTCATGGAATCATAGAATGGTTTGGGTTGGAAGGGACATTAAAGCCCATCTGTTTCCACCCTCTGCCATGGGCAGGGACACCTTCCACTATCCTGGGTTCCTCCAGGCCCCATCCAACCTGGCCTTGGACACTTCCAGAAATGGGGCTGCTATAGCTTCTCTGGGCAACCTGTGCCAGGGCCTCCCCACCCTCCCTCCTCACAGGAAAGAGTTTAAATCACCTAGTGCAAGTTTTTTAAATATGAACTCACGAGCATATAATTTGTATTCTAATACAATTCTACTGTCATTTATTTGTTGCGTACTGGATTCTTGGATAATTGAACACGCATTATTAACAGGATTAATGTGTTATGAGAAGGATGCTTTGTCATTTGAATACATTACAGTGGTGTCTATGCTCACCAGTGGTACCTGACAGTATCAGTGCATGGATGAGGAGCCAGAACACACAGTTAGTTAGTGGTTTCCAAAGCAATGGTAGCCCCAGTTTGCACTTTTGTTAGAAGCTGCTACTTCAGTGTTATATGTTCCTCGAATCTTAGAGCTGTTCATGGTTGATCTGCAGCTATTCTAAATTTGGGAATAACTACCACCCTCTTAAGGGAGGAGGGTGGGACAATGTGTCATATGCTATGAACTAATGCTTGGTTTGGGTCCCTGGCTCATGTGTTGAACTAAATTGTTAATTTATTTAGATCCCGTGGTGGAGGAACATCCATCTCACCAAAAGATCACCTCGCTGCTTGGGGAAGGAGGTCCTACTCCATTAACTTTTATCCTAAATGCAAACTTGCTTGTCAATGTCAAGCTAATAACATGTAAGTATTGCACATTTTCTTTTCCATTAAATCCAGCTTTGTTTTTCAAACAGCATTACTGTGGTGTCTTATCTTCTTAAAGGTTCCTCAGAAAGGTGCTGGTGCTTCTCAACCAATGGACTGCATGGTTTGGGTCAGGCAGAAATTGTCATTTTGTTACAGCGTTTGCCAGAAGAAGATGTTTTCCCCAGTGAAATGTTCAAATTATTTCTTGACATCTATAAGGATGCAATGAAAGGTGTGTAATTTTTAATGTCCAACTTTTTATTTTATAGCATATTCCTGCAGATCTTTCAAGTTAAATGTTGATATGTAATTTTTCTTGAAGTATTTGTAAGTGTCTAATGATTCTGATGAAAGACCTTGCAGTGTTAGGCTTGGGTTCTAAATAACAGAAATAAAAGAATTTAAGTTTATTTGTTTCCTATACTTCTGTACACATCCTGTTTGCAGGCTCTCTTCTTGTTGTTTAGTTACATTGTGTTGGAGATCCTGCCTATAAGCCCTTGGGTCTGTGGTTTAGAGCATCTGGCATGCTCTTTGTAGAATTGCAGTATTCATTTATGTAAATATTTTAGGTCTGTTGATGGAAGTTCACCAACTGTTGTGTGCCAGAACATTGAACACTTCAGGATTTCTGGAATTTGTTTGAAGTAAAACTAGTTTTGTATTCAAATTCATTTAGTTACAAAATACAGAGCACTTATTCTGTGGATTTAGATGTCTGACAGACTTCAGGAGGGTCTGAAATCCACCACAGACCTGCAAGTCTGCCAGAGGTCACTGGTTAGAACAGTTCTCTTGGCACTAATGTTTGGCTGACCCAGATGTGCAAGCTCTCTGTCCCTCTTTCTACAGGAAGGTTTGTAAGAAACATGGAAAACATTACTTTTACTGAAAACTTTCTCAACAACAAAGAGCATGGAGGATTCCTGTTTGTTTCACCAACTTTTCAGAAACTTGATGATCAGATTCTACCGGATAACCCTTTTCTTTGTGGCATTCTCATCCATAAGCTGGAAATACCCTGGGCTAAAGTGTTTCCAATCCGTTTAATGTTGAGACTGGGAGCAGAATACGGGGGTAAGTTTTAGCACTTTCAGTAGCTATATAAATGTCAAGTTCCCTTTGGAAAATACAAGGGATTTTTAGACAAGTAAAATATTTAAAATCATCTTTGCAGTATTTTATGGTACACCTGGGTAAGACTGATATGGGAAGCCACCTATTGAGACACTTGGGAATGTTCACTGTCCCGCTGGACTGACTCCCTTAATTTTATTAGGTTTTTTCTTAGCTGATGAGAATGTTAAGAAGCCAAAACTGATATTAAAAAAACTCTGATATAAAAATGTCTGACTTTTTTTGCTGTAGGAAGAACGTTTGAAGGGACATTCAAAAGCCCAGTTTACAACTCTGACAGAATGGTTTTTTTAAATTAAATTACTGAAATTAAATATATTGGCAAAATATTACTGCTTCATAAACTGAGTACAGCCTTGATTACCTACAAGGGTAACTTATTAATACATCGGAAACATCTAGGCCTGTGAAAAGGCAGGACCCCACCATTCTACTAGCCGCAAGTCCATCAGTATGTACCACTGGCTTGTTCAAGGATTTCTGGAGTCCACAATGGATCACTTCTGGCCAGGCCCATGTCTGTGTGGTGATGAGGATGGTAGCTGCTTTGTTCTTCTTTCTCCTACCAAACTACTCGTTGTGGTTTGGTTTTTTGATCAGTTTTGTAGGATTTAACCATGGATGGGGAAATCACCAGGTGGCTGAAGGACAGCCCATGACAGAGAATGAGAGAGGGGCTCTGCTGGCTTTGGCTGGTCAGATAATGAGATTAAGAAACACAGGTTATAGCTGAAAATATACTGTATAAATACTTGGATTAGGAAGTTTTATAGTTGTTGATAGGTAAACATGCCCTTTTTCCTTCCTTGTTCCCAGCCTATCCAACTCCTGTGGTGAGTTACAGGCACCGGAAGCCACTTTTTGGAGAGATCGGGCACACAATTATGAATCTGCTTGTTGTGAGTAAATGTTTTATTATTTTCCTCTTATAATTTAAATTATGTAAAATATTTTCAAAATTCTGAACCTTGAAAGCAGTGGATTTTGGTAAATTTAAAAAGCAAACGTTTTTGTTCTTCATACTTGACTTGAAACTTTCTTAGTGAGTGAGTTAGGAAAGCTGTTTGTTTCACCTGGCATTGTTATACATCAGTTCTGGTAGTGAGGAATGGCTTTAAATGATTGAGAGAAATGTTGACATTTGCACTGAAGCTGGTAGTAATCATTGTTCAGGTACATTTTTCTCTTCCAAGCATCAGTGTGGTGCAGGAATTCTGGTCTTAAGTCTGACAATATTAAATGTAAAGAAAGACTTGACAGGCAGATGCTGTGGACTAACTGTAGGAGGACTTACTTACCACAATTAACCAGCCTGACTGTCTTTTGTGAAGGAGTTTTTGGTAAAATCATAAGACTAAGTCAAGCCTGGAATTCATGGCATTCCCTGTGTAAGTTTTTCCTCTGTTTGATTTAAACTTCTAGTAAGCCTGTGTTCCTGGCTGGGAATGTTCTGGTCTGTGTTCCTCTTCTAATACTTACAATAGAGCTCATAGCACTTTTCATCCCAGCATTAAGGGTAAGGCCATGGAAAGAGCTGCACACCTTATTTAGGCAATCCCTGCATCCTCTCCCGAGAGTCCCCTGGCCATCAGAGCTGAGATGGAACTGAGGCCTTTTCTCTGACATTGGTGTCCAGGTCACTGCTTAAGGAACCAGTCAGAGGATATGCACCATCTAAAAACCAGCATGTTCCTTGTTAGTGTAGGAATCTTACACTGTAATTCCATGAGCCAGCTCCCAGCATGATTGGTGACATGACAGTACCAATGTCTAACTGCATTCTCAGACTCTGAGGAATCTTAATGTTGTGCTGATGATGATGGGGGGTTCTATGGAATTCTACTGGCCTTCCCCTTCACAGCTGTGTCAGCTTGAAGCAGGCAATGGGAATATGTTCTCCTTGGCACAAGTTTTTATCACTAGATGACTGCAAAATAATCTCTTGGTGGTGCCTTGGCACCTGTGATGCAGATCCTCAGTTGAAGATCGTACAAAACCTCTCACCATACAAGTGACTGAGGCCATGGTAACTAATGGAGGCAAAGGGCACCTGTGATTTACATCCTTACTGTTGCTCAAACTATGCCTGTTCCATGGCAACCTGGAGTGCACTGAGATGTGTTTGTAAATGCCCTACTTGTGCTGAATGAGGAAGGTACTGATTGCCTGGCTCAGCTGGTGAAAAGAGCCTTTTTATACCTTTTTTTCAGCTGAGCTAGTGAAGGCAAATGAGACCACTTCATACCTAATGTTGTTGTTCTGGGAAAAAAACAGAATTTTGCAGAAGTGGATGAGATGATGGGCGATGTCAGAGAAAGGTGTTAGAAATGGTGCAGTGTATTCAATTTATAGGTCAGCCAGTTAGAGCTGTAGGGGACAGGGTGTGAGCCTGGAAACAAACTCCTCTAGATGATGGCTTCCATGCTTCACTTTTCTGTCAGAGAGGGAGGGTGTTGAAGGTTTTCCTTCCCTAAAAGAGTAAAATCGTAATGTGTATGAAGTAGCCATAATCTAAATAACCCACTGATAGATAGACTGACCTTGTCATCCTACGAGTTTGTTAATACATTCACTAAGGTACACATACATCCCAGTAGGAAAAAAGGGATTACTAAGTTTTTAGCCACTCTTAATGTCATTACTTTTTAGAAGTCCTAGAGATGTATGTAAAGAACTTTTATCTAGATGATTTTTTTGTAAAAGATAAGAAAACAATAATTAATTGTCTCCTAATGTAAATACTTTGTCTGTTATAGGACCTTAGAAATTATCAGTATACTTTGCATACCATAGACAACCTTTTTGTTCATGTGGAAATGGGTAGAAGCTGTATTAAAATACCCCTAAAGAAGTATAATGAGGTGAGTAAACCCATCTCGATTAGCTTTCTAATCCAAGCTGCTTTAATCGTTATTTTTCATATAATACCAGTCACACCTTTACCATCAGTTCTTCTCTAAAAAAACCTCGCTGAACTTTATAACTGACCTAAATATGTAAGGGGGAGAGCATAAAATTACCTGAGCACACATCCTTCCTTCCTGGATATGCTGGAAGGTGAATAATGATGAATTGAGATTTAGGATAACTGGTAAGTGCTTAAAAATCAGCAGTTTCTTCCAAATCTTTTAGTATTTTCAGGGATTCTCTCATACAGATTTCCTGGTGATGGTGTGTTGCTTAAGACTAAAAAAAAACCCCAAACCAAAAAAAAAAACCTACTTGAATAGTGAGTGCAATTTGTCAGTGTAATGACAAATTTTGTATTGACAGATAATGAAGGTCATAAATTCTTCTAATGAACATGTAATTAGCATTGGAGCAAGTTTTAATACCGAAGCAGATTCTCACCTGGTGTGTGTGCAGAACAAGCATGGCCTCTATCACACACAGGCAGTCAGTGCCACGGGACATCCCAGGAAAGGTAAGTGCTCTAGTAGAGAAAAATCACATTTCTAGAGCAGAAATGTAAGTTCACTGTTAGGCTGCAAGGAAAATGCAACTCTGGTGGCACACTGAAATGTGTTTAAAAAGGGGTGTTAGTGGAATGTTAGTAGTGACTGACTTGAGTGACACGAAGTGGTGCTCACTTTGTTCCTACTTTTTCTAGTTACAGGTGCAAGTTTTGTGGTGTTTAATGGAGCCTTAAAAACATCTTCAGGATTTTTAGCTAAATCCAGTATAGTTGAAGGTAAGAATTTTGTCCTGTGTATTTTCCTCTTAAGAGAACTTACACAAAAAATAAAAGCAGCAGTCTTGCGTAAGGTTTTATGCCTCAGTAAGCTAAACTCTTCAAGGTTTTTTTACTTTATAGAAAACCTGTTGCAAACAAAATGCTGTGTAAAAAAATACATGTTAGTTCAGATACTTGTTAAAAAACATACAAAGTTTTAACTCTCTTTAGTCAGTTCAAGTCTTTCCTATTTTCATTGCCATATTGCTCAAATAGATATATTGGCACATAAATGAAAAAAAAATTCTAAGATTAGTCCAAGAATGATGTTTTAACTTTAGTTCTGTTGACAAAAAGGTTTTCTTCCTCTTTCATGTAACATTTAACACTGTAGTTGGGGGATGGAGTCCTTTTGTGCTTTTATTAATCAGCTGTAGGGGAGGGTTGATCCCACTAGAATTTAAGCCATGATTCTACTAAAAAGCTGTGCTGCTCTTCCTGTAGATAATTTGGGATTTTAACTGGATTTGTTCTAGATGGACTAATGGTACAAATAACACGAGAAACAATGGAAAGCCTACGTCAGGCATTGAGAGACAAGAAAGACTTCAGAATTACCTGTGGAAAAATGGATACAGGGGATGTAAAAGAATACGTGGATATTTGCTGGGTAGAAAATGAAGAGAAAACAAACAAAGGGTAAATGTACTGCCAAAGCAGAACATCTAAGAGAATTCATCTTTCCAATGTTCAGATTTTTGCCTTCGGTTTCCTGAAATTAATGTAAAGTATTTTTATTGAAAAACAGTGGTCCATACCTTAAATGGTTTATAGCTTCTTAAACCTGCAAGATTGGCTTTATATTAAGTGCTTTTAGTTCCCTATTTATTTCTTTTTGTAGCATCTGTATTTTCATCATGCAAGCCCTGTATTGTATTTTGTTATAAGGATGGATAAACATTATTTCATAAAAATGACTCAATCTAAACCATAAAATGTTGTTTTAATTATTAATTATACTATTGTCTTCCATAGAATTTTAAGCCCAGTAGATGGAAAATCAATTGGAGGAACTCAGAGTGAAAAAGCACCACAAGGCAGAGACTTCGAAAGAGAGGGAAAAGTTATGAAGTGCACTGAAGTTAGTGAATTACATTGTTCTTGAGCCTTTTTTGGTACTTTTTGAATAGTTAAGGGGTAAGGTGGATCGTACGAAGTGATACTACTAAAAAATGTGGCTGCTTTGATGTGTAGCCACGCTGATAGGCAGAATGTTCTCTGTGGCTCTTCGGTGAGTTTACATACTTTTCATTTTTCTCCCCTGAAAAAGACTAGAAGTCTGTTAGCATTGACAGCTCTGTAAATCCATAGCCCAGGCATTCCCATGGGCACTGAGGTGTTGTGATTGAATAGCTGAAACACTTGGGTAGTTTGCCAGTCAATAAGGCACTAGAGCTTGCTCTGTGCTGTGTTATGTGCACACTGAATTACTCTTTTTCCTTACTTTGGGATGTAACCAGGCGGCTCACTGTTCTTACCCTTTCTCTGGTTTCAGGTTTGCTATTTTGTGAAGGACAATGAACTCTCCAGTGCTGTTCCTCACCAGTTTGCTAAAGAGATTGCCACTGCCTGCAGCACTGCTCTCTGCCCTCACCTCAAAACCTTGAAAAGTAATGGAATGAATAAGATAGGCCTGAGAGTTTCCATTGACTCAGATATGGTAATCTTTCAACTTTCATTGCAGACTCCCCATTTCCACTGAAGTATCCCCTTGCACAGACCGTGGATCTCTCCCTGAATGTTTTAAATGTTTTGCCATACTCCAGGTGAAGAAGCTGCTTTAGTGACTAGTTTCTCACTTCATACCAGTTGAGATATTCTTTTAGTGAGATACTACACTTGTAGTGTTGTCTTGTTAATATAAAAAGTGTTAATTAATATCAATATTAATGTGTTTCTCTCCTAGGTTGAATACTTAGCTGGATCTGGAGGTCATCTTCTTCCACAGAACTATCTGAATGACTTGGACAGTGCTCTGATTCCTGTGATTCATGGTGGAATGTCAGATCCTACCACACTACCAGTGAAAATGGAATTAATATTTTTCATTACAGAACACTTGTTTTGATAAGGCTGATGACAGGCAATATACTGATTTGCTAGATCTGAACACCAAAGTTATAATGCCACAAAAACTAACAATGTTAAAGTTTCTAAACCTGTTGCATTTAATAGCTTTTCAAACTGTTTTTTAACCCCCTCAGATCCTCCCTGGTTACTCTACCACAAAGGAATTGTAGTTTGTAATGTTCCTAAAGTCCTGAAAGTTTACACTTAATACAGGTGCAGAAGAGGGCAGGTTTTGTTAATCTTTACACAGCTGTAGCATTTACTATACCTAGTGTAACTCCAAGCCATACTGCCTTGCCTCAACCTCAGATAAGTGTGTTACTACGAGTTGCTGTGTTTAAATGTAATCTCTGCAGCAAGTGCTTCCCACCTGCAAAGGAGCTGAACACTGAAGCAAAGCTGGCCCAGAACTGTTCCCCTGCCCTCTGAGGTGCAGACACGAGACCCTCTGTAGCTGACGGTGAGCCCCGTGTGTCAGGGCAGGGCGAACTCTGCAGGTGTGTTGAAGACTTTGTGGGTGAGCTCCTTAACATGGGGATTGATGCTGGTGCTTCAGAAACATATGCTCTGCATTAATGTTTTATAGAATAACTGATATCTTTCTTGTATTTTTAACGTTTTAGCTAACTTAAATTTATGCTATTTTTATAAAAAGTGCTTTCTTTTTTTTCCTTTATTGTGGTTTAGAAGTCCTGATAAAATTTGACCTTTCAAGGATTATAAAAAAAAGATTAGCCTTGATATAATCTACACGTAGCAATAAGTCAGACAAGAATTCTGCAGTATTTTTTCTGCTCCTGTCTGCTGCTTTTGCCACCTTCTAGTAGCCACCTTTACTTTCAGGGAGAATAGATGTATTAAGTGTGAATTTTCATGAACAGATCAATTCTAGTGGAAGGTGTCCCTGCCCATGGCAGGGGTGTTGGAAGTCCTTAAGGTTCCTTCCAACCCCAACCATTTGGGGATTTTTAGTATACTTGAGGTTCTTGCATAGTACGTATTTTTGATACTGGGTCACTTAAATCTATTTATGTATTTGTGATGCATGTGATTTGTACTGAGGTTCATGGAACCACAATGCAGGTTTGGTAACTGCCACAGGACTGTTTATCAGGAGCAGAACCAAAACTAAATATATACAACATCTATATTGTTTTCAGTAGAAATGCTGGTACAATTTTATAATGAAAGTATTAAAATTTTGATGCCATCTTGATGCTAATAGGGGATATTTTATGTTTTTGTATCAAAAACGATCTGTAAATTAACCTTTAACCTAATCTGCTCTTCTGTTACCTGTGCTTTAACACACTGGTGCTAGAAGGGTTCAGGCTTCAAGATCTTACCCTGGAGGAAATTGAGCTGCATTTCAGCTTCTTTGTGCTGACTTCGAGATAGATACTGCCCTTCTGGAGAAGGGCTGGACTCACACCATGCACAGCAGGAACAAAACATGCCTTTGTTGAAAACAAGCTGCCCCTGGGCCCTCGAGGCCAAGCAGCATTTCCAGGCTGTGGTGGGGCTGGGGTGGCTGTGACCAGCACCCTGCACCCCAGGGTGTCTGCAGAGGTACCCAAACCGACAGCTGTCTCTTGGCACTTACCCTCTACTAACCCCTTTTCAGTAATGATCAATAAAGTTAACTACAGTGCTTGCACTCTCTGTCTCTTATTTATAATAAAGCAGGAAAAAAGACATGATTTGGGTGGATGTGTCCTGTCTTTGCAGCTTTCTGGGAACTTCTGATATTGTCCACAAAATCTGATTTGTCATCTGGTGTGCAACAAGCCAATACACACCTGAGAGACACTGAATATTTATTTCAGAATTTCACAGGCCACGGGTTCGCAGTGTGTTCCACAAATCCAGCACAACAACTGGACTTTCTGTGCCATCATGCATACACAGAAATCCAGAATTAGTAACTTCCCAAGCACAGCCCCTCTATCAGGATTAATCGGTCCTTTCCATACAGGTTACACAATGCCAGCCAACTTCTACATGTGCTCAGGGGAAGGGTCTGCACTTGGGCTGGGTCTTTTTTGGCCTGTAAGTGTGGGTTTTAGTATTATAATGAACACAATTCAGCCACAGGATACACAGATCTTGAGTATTTTGCCAATTAGCAACGTGTACATAGGCACACATCAACATCTTCATTTCACACAGAATCAAATTAAGTTGGAAAAGGCCTCCCAGCCCATGGAGTCTAGCCTGTGGCTGATCCTCACCTTGTCACCCAGCCCAGAGCACTGAGTGCCACGTCCAGTAGTTCCTTGGACACCTCCAGGGATGGGAACTCCACCACCTCCCTGGGCAGCCCCTTCCAATGCCTGACCACCCTTTCCAGAGCGAAGTTCCTGCTGATGTACAGCCTTCCCTGGCACACCTTACGACTGTGTCCTCTCGCCCTGAGGACATCCTTTACTGCGCCCTTACGGCTGGTGAGTTCCAGGATGTCCTCCTGTAAGGGATGCAACTGCTGCCTGTCCCACTAACCAGGTCTCTTTCCTTGCTGATCAGGAAAGTACGTGGAGACCAAACAGCAAAGAACATCCTGATTTAGAGTAACGTTGAAATATTCCCCGTTTTGCAGGCACACTGTCGACCCCAGGGCTACTGCCCCGGCCGTGCTGTCCCTTCCCTTCCCAAACATTCCGTTCCCGAACCTTCCCTTCCTAAACCTGTCCTGCCCCGCCCCCCCCGGTCCCGCCCCGCTGTGGCGGCGGCGGTGCCGGCACGGCCCAACCCCCGCGGGCGGGACGGGATAGGCCGGGCCATGGCGAGCGGGACCGCGGGTGAGCGATGGTGGCGGCGTGGGCGGGCTCGGCCCTCGGGAAGCGGGGACAGGGGAGAGGGGCTCCATCAGCCGCCGGTGAGGAGCGGAGACAGGGGAGCTCCACCGCCCTGGGCCCCGCGGTGGAGGAGCCCAGGCGGGGCTGGGGCGGTTCCAGGCGGTGCTGAGGGTCCTGCCGTGTCCTCCCGTGCGGGCGGTGCTGAGGGACCCCCATGTCCCCGCAGGCTCTTGGAGCGAGTGGCCCGTGGACCATTTCCTCCGCTCCGGGTGCATCACGGCGCGGGACGGGGCCGCCGTGCGCTGGTTCCACGCCGCCAACAGCAGGGCCCGGGCGGCCGCGGCTGCGCGAAGTGAGTGCGGGACTGGCCCTGCCAGCCCTTCCCCTTTCCCCTTTCTCCTTTCTCCGTTCCCTTTCCTGCCCTGCTCAGTCATTACTGTTGGAAAAGCCCTCCCAGGACCATCGCGTCCAGCCTTCGTCCGTGCACCACCGGACCCAATAAACCGTGTCCCCGAATGCCACATCTTCACACCTTCCGTACACCTCCAGGGATGGGGACTCCACCACCTCCCTGGACAGCCCCTTCCAAGGCCTAAACTAAACCTTCCCTGGTACAGCTTTGAGGCCATTTCCCCTCGTCCTGTCCCTTGTTCCCTGGGAGCAGAACCCAATCCCCACTGGCTCCACCCTCCTGTCAGGGAGTTGTAGAATGAGAAAATCCGTGATGCCCCAGTCTGGGCAGCAGGGAATTTTATGTGAATTTATATGAATATTTGGGAAATATTTATGTAATTCCATATGCAACGTGCCTTCTCTTGAATATCATTACTAGCTTTTTTATTAGTATTCTAGTCTAAGGAACTGTATGTATTGGATTCTCTGCAAAGCTGGTAGCACTGCCCAGACTCGTTATATAAAGCTGTTTTCTAGAGCTTGCAGCATTCCTAAGACTCCCATTCGCCTGTCTTGTGTTTCAGCTCTCGTTTTCCTGGCTGGCTGACTTGTTTTTAAAGTTTTGACAGAGATGGGCGGGTCAGGTTTGAGAATGAGACAAGGGGAGTGCTCAGTCTCTGCCAGTGTTAAATCCTGTGCTCATCTTTACTCTGAAAGTATCTGTCTGGAACCCTGTTTTGAGAGGAAAAGATTTGAAATTTAACAAGAGTGGATTCACATGCTGGATGTCCATTTTTCTGTTTCTCTGATGAAAAAAAAAAACATGTGATTACTCAGCCAAATGTATCTACAAAAATCAGTTTTCACATGCCTGTAAATCTTTAAAGAGTTCGTGAGTTAAGTAACCAGAGAAATGTATCTTTCATGTCACAGACAGCAGTTCCCACTGGGGATGGCCTGTGTGGAGTAAGTGAACACAGGCTGGTGTGGGAAGACTTGCTGAGTAATTGTTGCTGTGAAGCAGACACTGAAACTGTTGGTTTTGCACCATAGAGCTTCAGTTTTTATCCCCCCCAGGCAATGTGCACATGGTAGAAGCTGATGTTCTCCTCCGTGGTGGGGAGGGAGGGAAGGGAGACCCGATCCTGGCTCACCCCCCTGACACAGACAGTGACATCACACTGCAGGAGTGGCTGACACAGATGGTCAACACCAATAAAGGCATCAAGCTGGATTTTAAGAGGTATCTCCACAAAAAGATTTTTGTGTTGTTTGCAGTCTTACTGGTTAACGATTTTACAGGTGATGTTTGACCAGACTTTTTCCTATTGTGCCATTTTGTGTGATGCATTCCTTCCTAAGCAAGAAATGAGGAAACGTCATCCTTATTAATAAATGCATCACAAGAATAAAAGCTTTGAAAGTAAGTTTTGAACTGCAAATAATATTTTTTTAGTTACTTCGGGCAGACTTTTTCTGTTGGGAAAAGGGAAATGGTATCCCTCTGGAAGGCTCCTATCTTTGGCCTGATTTATTAACTAGATTTTCAGAGGTTCATTCAGAATTTAACCATTAGCTGTTTCATTGTCTTGAATGGAAAATACACCTGAAAACCCCATGAGATAGCCTTGGAAGTAAGCTGTGATTTCCAGACATTCACTTCTGCAGCTCCTGACTTCAGCTTTGTCTGAATTTCCATATGCAAAGTCTGTTTTGGCAGCAAATTACAAAGAGCTTCATCAATGCCTCACTACGCTATAAAAGTGCAAAAAACCCCAGTAGATAGTTGTAAAATGTGATTTATGCCTGTTGTTCTGTGTAACACAGTTACTGGTTTTGTGTAAAAGTTCTTGAAAATGCAAAATATGTGGGCAGGCTAAATCTGTTTATTGTTACAGAATCTGTGTATGTCCATCTGGGCAGAGAAGAGAATAAAGCAAAGTAGGCATTGGGTTTATTTCTTGTGGGTTTGGGGATTTTTTCTTTCTATTTTAATTATTGTGTAAATTAATTTTAAAACCACCTACTTTTTGTTTTTCCACCAGGAATTTATAGCCATTTGCAGTGATTTGAAAAAAGCTTTTAAAAGTATGTTGCATTATAAAAGTCTAGTTGTATAAAAGCATTTAAAAATACATTACACAGTGCAGATGGAGTCAAATGAGTGATAACAGAATTTGATGTTTGCTTTGGGGTTTTTTTTCTGTGTTGTTGTTTATTTCAAGAGATGCTGCTTTGGGCTTTTTTCTCTCTACAATACCTTATACTTTGTAGTACAAAGGAAGGCTCTTCGCTGTCCTTGACAGATGTGAACTGTCCTGGCCTCAGACAGTGCAAGAAATGCTGAAGCTCACACGTTAACTCAGGCCATCGCTAATTTTTCTCCTGTAAGACTTGAGCTTATCTCAGCTGGAAGCGCTGGGTCGAATTCCTGCCACTATACAAAAGTTAAAATATACAAAATGACTTTTCAGAGAAAACAATGCAAGCAGCTCAGGGGACAGTTTTTGGCTTTAGAGCTGACCTAATATGAGAGCTCTGACTATAATGATTTTAAATTCCTGAACGTTTTATAAAGTGTTAATTCATGTGCTGTAAGAGAAAAAAGGTTTTCTTGGCATTCGTTCCTTTTCCCCATTGTTCCACATCTCCTTCTCTTCCAGAGTACTGGTGCTTTGAAAGTTTTGATGGGATAGAGGTAGAAAAAGCTACCTGTGCTTTTTCTTTTGATTTGAAAGAACAGTCAGAATACATGACTCTAGATTTTGTTAAATGCTTACAAGGTGTGCTGCACTGGTTGCTCAAATAATGACAACTCATATTTAATAATTTAATCATTAAATGTGGGGTGGACGTCTGACAGGCAGATTTTCTCTGCTGCCACACTTTGGAACTGTAGGGAAAATCATGACCAGGCATAAAGTGCTGAAATGGGTGTCCTTTTACTCTTTTAGTTGCCTGAAAATGTTCAGTTTGGGGTTTTTTATTCTCCTAGTATGGGTGGATTGGCTTGCAAAGGTGTGAAGGTAACTTTCAGTCTGGATCTGAAATAGTGATAAAATCTTTGCAATGCTGAGTGTGGTTAAGGTTGGAAGAGATTACTTTCACCCCTTGGATATAAACCACAGGAATATATATAAATAAATATATTTACAGTATCTATGGATTTCAGGTCTCATTAAACAGAAGTGTTGGAGCCTGCAGTAGATTCCTTTTTTAAAACCCTTCTCAAGCACCCTTCAAGACGAAGAGGTGACAAGCCTGGGGGGCTGTGAGGTGACACCAGGAGGTTCTGGGAGCAGGGGTGTGGCAGAATGGCGTCCTGAGAGGTGTAGGACAGGTCCCCTGCTGACACAGGGTCGTCAGCATTCGCTTAGTGTCTGAGCAGGACAGTTAAGTAACGCACTCGTTCTGTGCCTTCCCTGGTTCCCCTGGTGGTCCTCCACAGCCTGGACGCCGTGGGACCATCCCTGGAGCTGCTGGGGCAGGTGGAGCAGCAGCTGAGGAGACCTGTGTGGATCAACGGGGACATCCTGGCGGGGCCCGGTGGGAGCCGCCCGGCGCTGAATGCTCAGAGCATCCTCAGCACCGTCACCTCGACCTTCCCCGACATCACCCTGTCCCTGGGCTGGACCACAGGCTGGCACGGCCACCACCACGGGCAAGGTACATAGCTCTAGCCAGGCCTTCACCCTGCACAGCTGCTTTTCTTCACATTTGTCTCTTAATTGACTCAACACAAGCTCTGCAACAGCCTCTATTTGAAACTCGTAGTGAATGACATGAGAATGATTTTCTTTGCTGGTGTGTGAGATGCAGTGTGATCCTGCAATTACCTCAGTGTTGGACTGGCAACTGGACTGCGTAAAAATCTGATCTTTTTGTTGTTAAAATAAACTCTTTTGTTCTTCAATTCATTCTCATGCACTGAGGAGCTTTGGGAGACAAACTCCTCAGCCCCTGTTTCAGGTAGGTCTCTCCCTGAATCCTTGAAGGATTGGTTTGGTAATTGGAATTCTGGCATGTTTCCTGAGGAAAAACAGACTATCCAGAAATTTAAAACCCTGTCTGTGCTTCTTTTGATCATTGAAATCAAATTGTTAGTTAACCTTGTCTTCATTTCTATTGAATAATTGAATTTTTGCAGTGAATTTTCCAGTTTTCATTATTTTTGGGTCCTTTTCACAGTATTCCTCTTTCTTGTAATTCTCATTATGATCAGCAGGGTCCCCACCAGCATTGTCTGTGGCCACCAGGGCAAAATTATACACTGTTCCAATTGCTGATTACTCTTTAGCAAGATTTAGTATTTTGCTGTATGATGCACAGTGATTTTATTAAACTGTTCAGTGCTTTCTCTCAAATATTTTCAGCGCAGGAAAAAGTTGGTGGAAATATGCATTGGAAATACTGAGTAACATTTTAAAATTAATTTAATGTTCTCTCCATTCTAGGTTTCAGTTTATGGTAATACTAATTAAGGGTATGCTGGAAGACTTGGGAAAAACAGCTCATTTGACTGATTTCAACTAAAAGTTGCTGTTTGTCCAGCAAGACTATTTTTTTAATATTTGGTGCTTTTTTATTCTTTCCAGTCACACATTGCATATGAGTAATTGAGAAAAAATTTTAACTATTGTTTGTAAGATTTTCATAACCTGTGGAAACAAAAGAACAGTTAAATCGTATTTTAGGTAGCTGCAGTGCTTGTAAAAATCTCAGCAGAGGCACTTGGAGTGTTTTAGATTGCTTGATGTTTGCATTTTTTAAGCGCAGAATGTTTTGTGTGCTTTGTTTGTGTATAAGTCAGTCCTATGGGATTCATTCAAATTTTTTCCCTAATTTTTCCTTCCTATTTTTGTTTCTAGAGGGTCCCTGTCAATGTCAGACGAGTCCATACTGGAGTCAGTGGCAGCGAATTCAAAACCATCACATTCTGTAGCTGTATGTGAAATAACAGTGCAGCTACTGCAGAGGAAGGTTTTAATAAGCGGTTTATTTTCCCATGTTAATATTACCTTTCTCCTCTGGGATTATTTTTTCTTAGAACCATCTGGAAATTTCCTTTCAGAATTCCATGATTTTTGCCAGTCCCTGACTTTGCTCATTTTGTGTCACAGCTGAATCACTCTGTCAAGCTCTGGGTTGGGTGGGGGTTGTTTGTGAAGGGTTTTTTCAATCCATTGTTGTTCCCTGCAGGGTACGACTGGGGGATGGTGGAGGAGATGTCCCAGCTGTGCCAAGCCCTGTCCCAGCCCGTGACATTCCCTGTCAGGGCCATGCTAGTGCCGTGCTCCCTCCCTGCTCTCCGATGGCTGATCCAGCAGTCAGACAGGTTGGTCTGGGAGCCTCCATTCCCACCTATCCTGTTATAAACACAGCTGTTAAATTAAATACAACACACTTACTCCAGTGACATTGGAAATATTTTCCCTTTCAGTTCTTTAATTCCTTCAGCTCTCACATTGTTTGTTTCATTTGACAGAATTGGTCACTATTAATTTCTGTAAAATAATAAGTTTCCAAAAGCTTCTTTTTCATTACCTACAGTAAGAATTAATTTCACAATATTACTGCATTAAGAATATGTCTTATGAATTGTGCCAGTCTCAAATATATCCACATTGGATACAAGCAGTATTCCCACTGAAATATTAGGATTTTCTCTTTCAACTCAGAATAAAAGTCATGATTTTTTAGTGGCATGATTAGAAGACAGAAATTCCTGAGCCAGTTTTACTGACATACGATTAAATTCTGATTTACCCATATTTTAAATTAATACGGTTTTATTATACAAAGGGGAACATTAAGTATATGTCATGAGGAGATTGTGGAGAGTAATGCTTTTAACTGTGGTTGATACTGTGGAGATTTTCAGGTTTTTTGAAAAGTTACATGCAATTAATGACAATTCAGTTAATCAGGTGGCATCACTGCACATCACTGAGGCGACAGAACAGAGCATGACAATCACCCACGTCTGGGATTGCATCCTATTTCCTGTTCTGCAGCTCAGCCTGTGACTATCGATTACTTTGTCAAAGCTTAAATGCTCAGCCTGGTAATTTCTTTGCTGTATATCTGCCCAAGATTTTTTATTTAACTACTTGCTTGTTTTGGCAGAACACTCACACAGATAAATTGCAGATAAATTGTTCTAGGGGTTGCAATTTTTGGTATTTAATTACATTACTAAAATTGAGATATCGTCGTGAATATTTTTTAGGAGCTTATTAGTGCAATGTCTTTCTGATTTATGTGCTTTTTTCTCTTTTACTGTTTTCCCTTTTTTTTGCATGTAGGTACAGCCTCACTGTTTGGACAGGAAAGGACGACATATATTCTGTAGAGGATTTGCTTTCCATCCGAGAAAATTTTGATAAAAGTAGGGTTTATTATGACATTTTCGAGCCGCAAAATTCTGAATTCAAAAAAGCCATTGGAATAGAACAGTAAATGCAAAGCAGGCAATGCCTGACGTTACAATGCTCTATATTGTAATTTCTTTCAAATGTGAGGATTTCTTGTTCAGAGAAATGCATTTTCCTTGCAAGAGAAGCCATATTGAGCACACTTCTGGTTACTGGAGGAGATTTTATACAACACTGGGGAAAGGCTTCTCAAACAGAAATCCAGTGCCTTCTTCAGTGTTCCCTCCTCCCCATGTGGGATCCTGGGGGCTCCACATCCCAGAAGGGGAGAAGGGCTGTTTGTACTGAGTTAGCCCTGGTGGAGTTCTGTGTCCTGTGGTCACTGTGCCCCATCAAAGCTGAGTGGGAGTGGGGAGGGGGCTGCAGAAGGGGCTGGGACAGCCCCGGGGGTGATCCTGACCTGGCCCGGAGCACAGGGAGGGGTCCTGGCAAGGAGCACATTGGGCACAGTCAGAGAGCTGAGCTGTGACAGAGCAGTGCTGGTGCCTCTCTCAAGGGCTTGGAATCTCAGAACTTGCGTGTGAGATGTTCCCCTGCCATGTCTCTGGCAGCCAGAGAGCAAAGGAGCTGCAGGGAGATCAGTGATTGCAGCAAAAACAGCTAATTTCTGTGATCACAGGTATTTTCTGCGTTGTCCTGATTTTTGTGCATCCCTTTAACTGACAGGACTTCACAAATTTTCACAAGTGGAAGTTCCCTCTGAGAAAAGCTAAAACCCTGCTGACTACTGCAGGAAGAGCCTGACCTGCTTCATTTAAACCATTTGTTTTGCCCGTTTTGCTTCTACAGCCTTCAGAATTCACTCAGACTGAGCTACCAGCTGTGCGTTATTGCCTCTGCCTGACATTACAAACAATACAAACAAAACCACAGTGTCAGAGGAGGTTTTGATTTCTGGGTAAAAGCTGATGCCCTGAGCAGGGATTGCCATTTCTTCTTGTCCTCCTGTTCCCATTCCTCTCACATGGTTCCTGTGGGAATTGGATTGATATGGATGTTGAACACAACTCCTTTTAGGCTGTTAGTGCTGAAGTTAATTACAGCAGTTTTTGGTTCTTACATAGCCCTGGTACAGCTGTGGTAGAAAAATTAGTTACATTTCCTAATCCTAAATTTTGAAACATGGTGATTTCACACAGTCACTAAAATCCAAGACTCCCTGCTGTTACCTATGGCTCCTTTGACAGCTCCATCTAATAATTGTTCTGTGTTATTGAGGGGTAGAGCCTTCCTCATTTTTGTTACCTACTAAGGTATATGTGGGTAAAATTAGCAAAAATTTTTCCATATAAGGAAGAAACTATCTGGTTGTACTTGGGATAGTTAAACAAAGTACTTAATTTAATTTATTCCACCAGGCCAAGTGAGTGGCCATAACCACCAAAGGGTCAGGTTTGCAACTGTGATTCCTTTAATGAGGTTGGGGAAAGTACTTATTTTTCAGCCACAGTTTGTTGCAGGCAGTTGCATTCATTGACTTAAGGGATTTCATCTCTCAGTGTTTAGGCCTTTTTGGGTCTACACACACAGACTGTTCTGTTATTTAGAAACCTTTTTCCCATTGACCAGTTCTCACCTGAAGTACTGGGATTTGTTAAACTTTGTAAACTATTTGTAAACTATTGAATAAAAACCATCAGCAATTGCTAGAAGTATTTTTAAAGAAGATATATCTCTCAGTAATATCTGTGAATGTGAATAAACAGGGATATTCAGATAAAATTAAAAGAAGACATGATCTGGATTACCAGGAAAATTGATGTAGGCAATTAATTTAAGACATGTAAAACTAGATTAAACAAATGCTAGGAATTAGTTCTATGAAGCATTCTTGTGAAGACAGAAGAGTTTGGCTATGTGGTGAATTGTATAGATTTTCCTACATATCTAAATTTCTGTATGTATTTTTTACCCATAGGTCTCTGCTAGTTCCATGTGAACTCGTTTATGTCAGTCTGGTCTGAGTTGCACATAAATAAATTCATTTGAATTTCTTACTCTGTGTTTATTCAAATGCTCTCCTAAAATAAAACAATTTACGTGTGCGGCTGCAGTGAGACAGTGATGGTGAGATGAAGCCAGGTTTTATTCTGGTGGGAGAGCCGGTCTGTGTTGTTTTAGCTGTAGCTGTCTTTTTATTTTTTTTCTTTTACTTTCTGTCAGGGATGTGTTCCTTGTATTATACAAACACTGGTAATTTACTGCAAGTGCACTTTTAGCTTTCTGTTTCTCTGTGAATTTGAAGGACCTTAGTAAACAGATAAAATAACACTGTACGGAAGAGAGATGTCACTGCGTCCTGCACGGTGACCCAGCTGTGTCCTGTCATGACACAGAAGCAATGGGAGCAAAGCACAAGCTATTTGCTGGTTGTTTAAATGTACTGTGGAATGAAAGAAAATGCCCCCAAAGGCACATTTTTCAAATGTGTTATTCCATCTGATGTTCTCCACATCTCCCTCTTCAGCATTCATTCAAAAAACCAAAAACCCCCCAACAAAACCCGTCCTTTTTTTCAATTCAAAAGATCGAATTAAAGCTGAAATTACACTAGGAGTCTTTATAACTCATTTAATAAGTTGGTGATTGAATAGTCCCATCCTTTAAGGGAAAAAAAAAAGTTACAGTGTTGGGGAATTAAAAATGTTTGGTATTTGGTTCTGTCTCTGGATTTCAGGAATTTGGGGAATAAACTGGCCTGTGTACAATTAGAAAAAAAAATCTTTGGTGTTCAGTGTAAAATCTTTGCATGATTTTTAAATGGCCTTTCTAAAGTTACCACATGGATTTAAAAATCCATTTTCTCATCAGTTGTGTGCCTGGGTGGAGCTGTCACTGACATGCATGGGGACACTGATCACGTCAGTGCCACTGCCATTGTGTGTAATTTCCACATTGAAGGTCTTTGTGACTGTGATGTGACATTGACTGAGAGTAAGAGCAGTGATTTTTGCTGCTTTTTCACCGGCAGGTGAGAGATGGGAAACCATAGCTTTCAACACCAGCAAGGGGAGACTCAGCCTGTGGTATTTTCTGTGCCCAGAGACAAAAAAGGAACCTAAAAGGTCTGTTGTTTTTTTATCTCGGGTGCCTTGGGGAGTGAGGGGTTCTAACATTAGAAACTCCGGTTGTGCTGACCGTTCTTCACTGAAAAGAACATCAGGGGTGGCTGGGAAATGTCATGGATTAAGGGCTTCAAAGATAGCACAAGAGCATCTCCACGACTGGAACCACAGGAAGCTTCCGGCAGGTGGAGAGAGCCTCTCTCACACCATACTTTGCACAAATTGAGCTATATTGGATTAAATCTAAGTAACTGTTCCCATTTTCTTGCATAGAGACAACCTGAGAAATACTTCTAAGTGAGAACCTTTGGCAGTGACTCATCATCTACTGAGTGGTGAATAAAAGCATGTGCTTATTTCCATGTTCCCTTGGTGGGGGAAAAAAAAAACTTTTATTTATTCATCATAACAACATCAAGAGAACAAAGCTTCTTTTCTTTGAAGGTCACTTGTAACAGTAATGCAAAAACAAACAGTAATATTAACCCTTCACATTATTTCTGCGCCACAATTAATCACAAAATACTGGTAACACTACTGAAAAACTTCCCTTTTCAAGACACTTGCCATTTTCCTCCATTGTCCAAGTATTTTGTGGAAAAATTACTCTTTCAGTTAAGGGAGAAATAGTCTCATATACATAATTAATTTTAAAATCAAAACAGCATCAATTGGGTTTTATACCCTCAGCACAGATACCAGTTAGAACACCTGGTGATGGTAGATTTCTTCTAAAAAGGGACTTGTATGTTTTTAAAGATCCATTTTCCATTGCAAATATTTAATTTCATTATGAAATGAAGAAATGACAAATTGCCATTTCCATTTTTAATGCCATGAAAACATTTGAAAAATATATTGTGTGTAGGGACCAATTTGTACCCAGTTAATAAAGACATACTCTGTTCCATGTAATTTCTCTGTCATAGAAAGATTTCCACATAATCCCTGCTTCTATCTGATGTACACAGGGGCTGATCCAACAACATCTGAAGGAAAAGGCAGAACTTGAATGGCAACAAATACGCTGAAAAAGATATTTACACAGAGTGTGTTTATCATCCCCTTTGAATTGTTTATGTTTATCATCCCCTTTAAATTGTTTTTATCATCCCCTTTAAATTGTTTCATGTTTATCATCCCCTTTAAATTATCATATACTAAGTGCAAAGCTAAATAACATCACAGTTATTTGTTAGGCAATGTCAGATTCGGTGAACTTTGACTGAAGCTGCAAGCAGACATAGTACTGACTGAGCATTTTCAGAAAAAAAGTATTTCAGTATACTGAAATTCACATTACACAGACACAATTTCAGTACAACTACTTTCTGTAAACTATGACAACATAGAACACATTCACTTTTTCTCAATATTTAGAAGATGAGATCTAAAATGCTAAATGCAGTGCAGTATCTATGGTATGCACACAAAGACAGAACCATGTTTGGAATTGTAGAACACTAAAGGAAAGCAAAGAAAGATGGATTTTTAGATAGAGATGATAAAAAATATGCAGTAGCTTAGAGTCTGCAGAGGAGTGTTTTCTACCCCTAAGACATTCAGTCCTCTGCTTCAAATTAGGCAAAATGTGAATTTCCATCTCCCAGGTGAGTTTTGTCATTAAAACCACAGAACAGTTTGGGTTGGAAGGGGCCTTAAAGCCCATCTCGTTCCAACCCCCTTGCCATAGGTAGGGACACCTTCCAGTAGACCAGGTTGCTCTCAACCCTGTCCAACCTGGCCCTGGACAGTTCCAGGGATGGATATTCTGGGCAACTTGTGCCAAGGCCTCCCCACGCCTGGATTGTCTTTTTTTAGGTCTGTCTGAGCAGGAGGACAGAGCTTTTCCCTGCTCCCAAGCCTGTGTGTGAAGTGCCCTTGCTGAAGAACACTTGATGTGCCCCACCATCTGTACCCTGGTGAAAAGGGCTGTGACTGGGGCCAAAGAGCTCCTGCATGACCTGGAGATCTCTTTTGGGGGGAGTCCAGAACTGCAGACAGTGATAGACTCTTGTTTAGATATAGGCTCTGCCTCCCCCACCCCTCCTTTTCTGAGGAGCAGATTCCAGCGGGCCAGAACCTTGAGCAGCCCCAGGTGGCTGAGACACCTCGTTGACAGTGCGAGCAGTTTCTTTGTGTCACACTCAGGGCTCATTGTGCTCCCTGTGGGCTCCTGACAGGGCTGGCAGGCTTTGTGTGCTGGCCTCCAGCACCCCAGAGCTGTGCGCCACCTGCCCCAGGGCCAGCTAGGCATCTGAAACGTGCTCCCAGTCTTTAGCTGGAATTCCCTGGGCAGCACAGCTCTGCAACATGACTTTTATTAACTGTTTACATGGAGTGAAGTCATAGAAGCAGGAGACATTGCCAGTGTACACCTGGTGTCTGAGTTTTTTGGGTATTGTACAACCTGGACAGTCAGGCTGGTGTCCAGCATCACAGTCAACTGTTTCAGGTTCCCAAACTCCATGTGTATGACCTCTGTTGGTGCAAAAAGAGTACATGCTTGGGAAAATCTAGGAGTCATATTTACAACTGCAGTGCTTAAGAGGCATTGTGGGTTCAGTCTGTCACAGGTAAGTTGAAAATCTTAGAAAACCAGGAAAATAAATATTCCTCAGTTTGCAGAAAGCAGCCTCATTCATTAATTATGTCTTCATGTAGTCTTTAAGCTGTTCGACTCATCCCAAGGCACAGAGCTTTACATCACAGACCGGCTCTACTTTGTGATATGCACCATTACAATCAGGGAGTGCAGTGAATATTTACATATCAAAGAGTTTGTAGCCCCTTATCCCCCATTAAAGATTCAGTAATTGCTTAACCTGCTCAGACTGTAATCTGCTCATACGGCCTCCTGCGCAGCAGATTGGTGTTTTTGGTCATCCTAGGAAAAGCAGGTGCTGCTGGCCCTAACTGTGTTTGCCCACAAGAAATCATCCCAGAAACTGTGTTTATGACAGTGAGCTCTTGATGAACTGGGGGGCAAGGGTTCACACTCAGGGGTGGCAGAAAATCTGGCCTTGTCTGATCCAATGCTAAGGCTCCTGACCCTTGTCCTTCTGGGAAAGCCTGATTTCTGCCTTTCACAGTAACAGAAGGCATTTTCTCCAGAACTTCTCTAGAACTTGGTAACAAGGAGTGAGATGGAGAAATAATCTCTTTCTTTCCTATTGCTGACTTACTGTCTTCTGCAGCAGCAGCAGGACTTAGACCAGCAATTAACTGAGAATCAGAACTGTTGTGATCTGTTTTTGCATTTTTGTTCCTGAAAAAACCGCTGAGGTTTGAAATTAGGCTGATTTGTCCCAGACTGACACTCTGACCCATGGGAATCACACTGGGGTTATGTTTCTCTTCAACAAAAGGAGTCTGATAGTTTATCTTGTCAGGTGGTGGTTTCCTGGACCCAGTTTCATCAGAGGTTTTGAATACATGAGCAGTGTCTTTCCTGTCAATACTTTGGGGGCTGGTGTTGACTCTCTTTGATAAGCCAAGGCCACCGACTTTACAAGAGAGCTTTTCTGTGGGAGTGATACTCTGAAGTTCCTGTGAAGAAGCAATTTTCCTCTGGTGAAACACTGCTGGGCAGCACTTTACCCAAGGCTCACGCTCCAGCTGCTGCACATGGGTCAGCTGGAACCGGGCCTGTATCGGGCTGGGTTTCATCATCAGTGACCCTGTTTGAGATAAGCCGTCCTCCTCCCGTGGAGGATACAGCTCTCTGAAGCTGAATGGTCCCTCTGGAGTCTCACTGGGTTCTATTTCCGATGGGGAGATGCAGGCAGTTGGGTACTGACACTCCCCGAGTTCTGGGGGAGGCATGTTCAGGTACTGCCTAGTTTCCTGCCTCCCCGATGCAGATTTGTCCATGGTGATGATGATCACCTCTTTCCCTCGTGCCTTACAAGCGTTGAGCAGAACCTCTAGGG